ATTTTTCCCTCAATAACGTAGTTATACAACATTCAGACTCTCGTTCCTTTTTAGGAATGGCAAAGGGAAGGGAGTTTTGAAAAACTACCCCCGGCGGGACTCGAACCCGCAATCTTTTGCTTAGGAAGCAAACGCCTTATCCATTAGGCTACGGAGGCCCTCACACGGCCGGAATATTTGCAAGGAAACGGGATGTAATTAAGAAAAAATACCGAAAACCTTCTTGAGGTGAAAAAGCGCCATCCGTGGGGATCGAACCCACGACCACACGGTTAAAAGCCGTGCGCTCTACCGCTGAGCTAGGAAGGCACACCCTCACCCCCTCCCTCCAACCTGATCCTTCATTTTTCAAAAGATGTTGTTTTTTTTTTTAAAAAGGGAAAATTTCACTCCAGACGGGACTCGAACCCGCAATCTTTGGATTAGAAGTCCAAAGCCTTATCCATTAGGCCACTGGAGCAACTCANAAATTTCACTCCAGACGGGACTCGAACCCGCAATCTTTGGATTAGAAGTCCAAAGCCTTATCCATTAGGCCACTGGAGCAACTCAATGTTGGGATATGCTCAAGGTTCAATATCTTGTTTCATAAATAAAAGCAAACAATATAAATATATTATAGTCGCCCTTCGTCGTTGTCAAGGGCGTGTAGCTCAGTGGTAGAGCGCCCGTTTTGCATACGGGAGGCCTAGGGTTCAAACCCCTACTCGTCCACTTTTTTCGTTTTTTGCGACGGATGAAAGGTAATTGTCTTACTTTTATTTTTCTCTGGTTGAGTAAAAGTGCTGAAATCGTTTTTGAAACGTCTCCCACGCTCCTCTTCGCGAGCTCCGCCCCGTCGCTCTGGCTTTGGGTGTGACTGACTGCCCTCTAGACTCCAGAAATTCCATCAGCGGGATCGCCTTCTGAAGCCACATAGCTTCATGAAGCGCGTAACCGATGCTCGCACAGAACCGTGTCTATAGTCAAAACCTCGCGTACTACGAGATCCGAATGGGTGTTGCCTTTTTTCATGATATGCATCACCGTTGCATTACCCACCCATATATGCAATGGGCCTTTGGTGCGGTGATGGAAAGCAAGCAATGCCAAGTACCGCTCGTGCTTCCACCTGCGGGATATCATGGAAGGTGTTTTTTTCCCAAGCCCCCCCCCCGGGCAAGCGGGACTTCCCCCGAATCTGCGAACAACAACGCGCCCTATCCGCACATGGGGGCGTCAGTGAACAACGTGGCTGGGGTTGGTGAAGTTCGCGGCGGGCGTACTGGTCTGTTTTCCAACAACTTGCCAAGCCATTGGCGGGCAAATTGAAACGCGTGCGGGGGCGAACGGGTGGGGCCAGCGGGGCGCGCCAACCCCCCATGGAGGCAAGAGAAACGTTGTCTCACCATCTTTTATTTTTTTTTAAATAGTATGGGAAAAGAAAATTCCCCCTTACCCCAGCCGAATGCAACATGCGAGGGCAGTGCCCATCCCCTCTTGAATTGAAGCGATCTACAAAGGAGGCGGCGCGTGCAATATTTGTGGTGTTTTCTGTCTCAACGAAACTCTCTGTTTTTTGCGCTCGAACAATACCCCTATAAGTTCGCACCGTTGGGGCACCATTTGGTGCTCCCCAGCGATTGCGCCGCACTCTTGTATATTCTTTCCAATGCATATGCCCTAGTGTTTGGCCACGCCCCATGGCCCACTTACGCGGGTGTTATGGATCCGCGTCTGTGCCTTCAATGGCTCTGGAGCTGCACGGCGCAGTTTTACCAACTTC